TTCCACATCGAAACTATTTAAACTTTTAAAATGGCATTCAGTTTACACGCAGCACGTGTTTGTCCATGCAAGTAGCAGTGACCCCTAGTGGAAGGAAGTAGGACTGTCTCACCAGAGATATTGCAGATCAGGACAAGGTGAAATTTGGACCAAAATTTGGCACACACATTATATTGTTCACAATACCATTTTAAAGAGGCTCTCCTATTTAGACATCTTAAAATAAAAAAGTAGTTATTTTTGCATTTTTTTTTTTTCACAGTAGCATTGCACTTGTGATAAGTGGACAAGTTAAATGTTACATCCCAACAGCTGTAATATGTTGCTATAAGTGGAGTTAGCCTTTAAACATTCAAATAAATAAACGAGTCCCACCGGAGAGCAGGATAAATAAAGTGATTGCTATTACATTGATTAGCCAGAAAGATCTTCCGTCTGTGCCAATCTGATTGTGGTTTCATGATGTCGCTAAGGGCTTTTACCTGCAAGGACTCAGTAACTCTGCTCCCCTCTCCCAGCAGTGACTCAGCAGCTTAGCTCACCCTGCTTCCCCTGGCACCCGGGACTCAGCAGCTCTGCTCCCCTCTCCCAGCAGTGGCTCAGTAGCTTAGCTCACCCTGCTTCCCCTGGCAGCAACAACTCAGCAGCTCTGCTCCCGTCTCCCAGCAGTGACTCCATGGCTTAGTTCACCCTGCTTCCCCTGGCACAGGGACTCAGCAGCTCTGCTCCCCTCTCTCAGCAGTGACTAAGCGGCTTAGCTCACCCTGCTTCCCCTGGCACAGGGACTCAGCAGCTCTGCTCCCCTCTCTCAGCAGTGACTAAGCGGCTTAGCTCACCCTGCTTCCCCTGGCATTAGGGACTCAGCAGCTCTGTTCCCCTCTCCCAGCAGTGGCTCAGCAGCTTAGCTCACCCTGCTTCCCCTGGCACCAGGGACTCAGTGGCTCTGCTCCCCTCTCCCAGCAGTGGATCAGCAGCTTAGCTCACCCTGCTTCCCCTGGCACCTGGGACTCAGCAGCTCTGCTCCCCTCTCCCAGCAGTGGCTCAGCAGCTTAGCTCACCCTGCTTCCCCTGGCAGCAACAACTCAGCAGCTCTGCTCCCCTCTCCCAGCAGTGACTCCGCGGCTTAGCTCACGCTGCTTCCCCTGGCATTAGGGACTCAGCAGCTCTGTTCCCCTCTCCCAGCAGTGACTCCGCAGTTTAGCTCACCCTGCTTCCCCTGGCATTAGGGACTCAGCAGCTCTGCTCCCCTCTCCCAGCAGTGGCTCAGCAGCTTAGCTCACCCTGCTTCCCCTGGTACTGGGGACTCAGCAGCTCTGTTCCCCTCTCCCAGCAGTGGCTCAGCAGCTTAGCTCACCCTGCTTCCCCTGGCACCAGGGACTCAGCAGCTCTGTTCCCCTCTCCCAGCAGTGGCTCAGCAGCTTGGCTCACCCTGCTTCCCCTGGCAGCAACAAGTCAGCAGCTCTGCTCCCCTCTCCCAGCAGTGATTCTGCGGCTTAGCTCACCCTGCTTCCCCTGGCACCTGGGACTCAACAGCTCTGCTCCCCTCTCCCAGCAGTGGCTCAGCAGCTTGGCTCCCCTGGCACCTGGGACCAGCAGCTGCTCCCCTTCTCCCAGCAGTGGCTCTTGGCTCACCCTGCTTCCCCTGGCAGCAACAACTCAGCAGCTCTGCTCCCCTCTCCCAGCAGTGACTCCGCGGCTTAGCTCACGCTGCTTCCCCTGGCATTAGGGACTCAGCAGCTCTGTTCCCCTCTCCCAGCAGTGATTCCGCGGCTTAGCTCACCCTGCTTCCCCTGGCACCAGGGACTCAGCAGCTCTGCTCCCCTCTCCCAGCAGTGACTCCGCAGTTTAGCTCACCCTGCTTCCCCTGGCATTAGGGACTCAGCAGCTCTGCTCCCCTCTCCCAGCAGTGGCTCAGCAGCTTAGCTCACCCTGCTTCCCCTGGCACCGGGGACTCAGCAGCTCTGTTCCCCTTTCCCAGCAGTGGCTCAGCAGCTTAGCTCACCCTGCTTCCCCTGGTACCCGGGGACTCAGCAGCTCTGTTCCCCTCTCCCAGCAGTGGCTCAGCAGCTTAGCTCACCCTGCTTCCCCTGGCATCAGGGACTCAGCAGCTCTGTTCCCCTCTCCCAGCAGTGGCTCAGCAGCTTGGCTCACCCTGCTTCCCCTGGCAGCAACAAGTCAGCAGCTCTGCTCCCCTCTCCCAGCAGTGATTCTGCGGCTTAGCTCACCCTGCTTCCCCTGGCACCAGGGACTCAGCAGCTCTGTTCCCCTCTCCCAGCAGTGGCTCAGCAGCTTGGCTCACCCTGCTTCCCCTGGCAGCAACAAGTCAGCAGCTCTGTTCCCCTCTCCCAGCAGTGGCTCAGCAGCTTAGCTCACCCTGCTTCCCCTGGCACAAGGGACTCTCCCCTCTCCCAGTGGCTCTGCTCCCCTCTCCCAGCAGTGGCTCAGCAGCTTAGCTCACCCTGCTTCCCTGGCACCTGGGACTCAGCAGCTCTGCTCCCCTCTCCAGCAGTGGCTCAGCAGCTTGGCTCACCCTGCTTCCCCTGGCAGCAACAACTCAGCAGCTCTGCTCCCCTCTCCCAGCAGTGACTCCGCGGCTTAGCTCACTCTGCTTCCCCTGGCATTAGGGACTCAGCAGCTCTGTTCCCCTCTCCCAGCAGTGATTCCGCGGCTTAGCTCACCCTGCTTCCCCTGGCACCAGGGACTCAGCAGCTCTGTTCCCCTCTCCCAGCAGTGACTCCGCAGCTTAGCTCACCCTGCTTCCCCTGGCATTAGGGACTCAGCAGCTCTGCTCCCCTCTCCCAGCAGTGGCTCAGCAGCTTAGCTCACCCTGCTTCCCCTGGTACCAACAACTCAGCAGCTCTGTTCCCCTCTCCCAGCAGTGGCTCAGCAGCTTAGCTCACCCTGCTTCCCCTGGCACCAGGGACTCAGCAGCTCTGTTCCCCTCTCCCAGCAGTGGCTCAGCAGCTTGGCTCACCCTGCTTCCCCTGGCAGCAACAAGTCAGCAGCTCTGCTCCCCTCTCCCAGCAGTGATTCTGCGGCTTAGCTCACCCTGCTTCCCCTGGCACCGGGGACTCAGCAGCTCTGCTCCCCTCTCCCAGCAGTGACTCCGCGGTTAGCTCACCCTGCTTCCCCCTGGCATTAGGGACTCAGCAGCTCTGTTCCTGTCTCCCAGCAGTGGCTCAGCAGCTTAGCTCACCCTGCTTCCCCTGACAGCGGAGACTCAGCGGCTCTGCTCCCCTCTCCCAGCAGTGCTACACAAATTGATAAATTGTTCACTCCATATCAAGGCCATTGAGGAATAATACAATCTGACTGAATTTGAAAGTTTTCAGCAGTTCCATCAGTTATAATATCTGAAGGGAAACATCTCTACCAATGTGTGCAGACCTGATAACCTTTTTTCTTTTCATTAAATTAAGGCTTCATGTACACGGTGCATTTGGAGAACTCTTCTGAATGCTGGAAATTGACAGCAGGAAAACGCAGGTTAAAAAACATCAGTTTTGCCGTGTTTGCATACCGTGTTTATGCGCATTTGTGTTCAGAAGCGTTTTTTTTTTTTTTTAAGATAAGCACAGGAAAACCTCCCAAATGCCCAGAATGCACTGAAAAATGGTAAATTATTAACTATTTTAGACATTTTGAGAGAAATAGAGAGAGCAGAAGCAGAGAGAGCAGTATGTGCTGAGATTAGCTTTCTTTTTTTTGTGGTGTTTGGATGTGTTCCAGCTCATTTCTGTGGAAATTATTGCAGCTGTGTCTAACATATTTTCTTTCATGCGAAACCTTAAAGTATGGTGTACCAGGTCCATTTGAGTACCGGGAAAACGCTTTGCATGCATTTTTCATGATGAAAAAAGGCTCTGGACAGCATCTGGAGATGGAAGAGTTTTAAAAAATTGCAAACGCTTATATAAACATGGTTAGCCGCGTTTACACGTGTTTACAAGCGTTTGATATTTGAATCGCTGATAACATCTACTCCTGAACGCACGTTTGGTGCGTTCAAAAAAACGACTGTAAACTCAACTGCCTGTAAATGACTATGTGTACATGGACACATAGGAAAACATTAGGGAGCGTTCAGGAGCTGCTGAAAAAAATGCAGAAAAGCTCCCAAATGTGAGTTTATCAGCTGCAGCATTCATGGAGCCTTACATGATCATCTGCAGGCATTTTCTATTTAAAACTTGGAGATGCCAGGGGATTGAACCCGGGGCCTCATACATGCAAAGCATGCGCTCTACCACTGAGCTACATCCCCTTACAAACATCAACACCAAATAGTAAAAAAATAAAAACAATCTATCACTAAATGAATGTGCAATTTCACCTTAAAGGGGATGTTCTGCTTGTTTGCATCATCTCCCCCCCCCCCCTCCCCCCCTCCTCTGTAGCAATTGGCATTTTTTGGGAGGGGGGAACAAGTACCCGGTTTTGACAAGTACACGCTCCCATTTCTGTTCAGATCGCCCCGATGATCTGAGCAGAAGTTCATCCCCCCTTTTCCCTGCAGCCTTCTGGACACATCACAGGTCCCAGAAGACTGCGGGACCATTCACAAAACACAACACACTTCACACATGTACAGTGGGAAACCAACTGTGAAGTCACAAGGTTTCACTGCTGGTTTCCCTTACTTAAGATATCGGCACCAGAAACCTGAAGCCGATTGAAGACCTGGCTCGGGTGAAGGCAGCACTGGATTCCTGGACAGGTGAATGTCCTTATACTGTATTAAAAGTCAGTATTTGTAGCTGCTGACTTTATTTTTTTGGGGGGAGGTAGACTGGAGCATCTCTTTAACCACCTGCCGCCTGCCATATAAAGCAATGACGGAGCAAGGCGGTTCTCTCATTCTGGGAGGACGTCATATGACGTCCTCCCACTCTAACCGCGCATGTGCGGCTCCAGGAGTGTGCAGCGCGGCGATCGGTGGTGTGCTGTGTCCCTCATACACAGCAGATCACCGATCAACAGAAAGAAACGAAGATGTCGGCTCAGTCATGTGATCAGCTGTGTCCAATCGCAGCTGATCGCATGTAAATAGGGAAATGCCAGTTATCGGCATTTCTCTCCTCACGAGTTGTCACGTTGAGAGCTTGAGAGGAGAGGAGAGCCGCTAATCGGCATTACTCAGAGGGGACATCTACACTGATCATCAGGGCACTGATGATCAGTGTGCCCTGATGATCAGTGAAGCCCCAGCAGTGCCACCTGTCAGTGTCCATCAGTGCCAGCTGTCAGTGGTCATCAATGCTACCTGCCAGTGCCCATCAGTGCCTACCATTTCACATCAATGCCACATATCAGTGCCCATCTGAGCTGCCTTTCAGTGCCACCTATCAATGCCAGTCAGTGCCACCTATCAGTGCTGCCAATCAGTGCCGCCTATCAGTGCCAGTCAGTGCCGCCTATCAGTGCGCATCAATGCCACCTATCAGTGCCTGTCAGTGCTGCCTATCAGTGCCGTCTAACAGTGCCAGTCAGTGCCACCTATCAGTGCCACCTATCAGTGCCATATATGAGTGCTGCCTTTCAGTGCCCATCAGTGATGCCTGTCAATGCCCATCAGTGCCACCTACCAGTGCCTCCTCATCAGTGCCCATCAGTGCCACCTATCAGTGCCCAACAGTGCAGCCTATCAGTGCCCATCAGTGCAGCCTCATTAGCACACATCAGCGAAGGAGAAAAATTACTTATTTACAAAATTTTATAACAAACACTAAAAAAAATTTTTTTTTTTCAAAATTTTCAGTTGTTTTTGGTTTGTTTAGCAAAAAAATAAAAAACCCAGAGGTGATTAAATGCCACCAAAAGAAAACTATATCTGTCTAAAAAAATGATAAAAATTAATATGGGTACAGTGTTGCATGACCGCGCAATTGTCATTTAAAGTGTGAGGGCGCTGAAAGCTAAAAATTTGCCTCGGCAGGAAGGGGGTATAAGAGCCCAGTAGGCAAGTGGTTAAAGTATAACTAAAGGCAAAATTTTTTTTAGTTTTGGATAGGATGGAGATGGATTAGAACCCCTGTCAGTTTTTATTGCTGTCTGTGTCCTCGTTAGGGAGATTCACCCTCTCTATTTGTCCTGTTTACCATTATCATCAAAAATGAAAATAAAAGAAACCCCAAATGTTTGTGTTGTCCCTAGAAAAGCAAAAGAGGAGAAATTTTCAAATAGGGACACTAGTTCTGGTTACCTGGGGGTTCCCAAGGACTTCCCTTAGTTTGTAGATTTTCTCACTACTTGTTTTGGCTATGGGACAGGAAGTGAAGGTAAATCTCCCCAATAAGACACAGATGGCAAAAAAAAAACTGATCGGGGTTATAACCCTCCCTTACTCTATCCAAATGCAAAAAAAAAGTTTTGCCTATAGGTTTACTTTAAAAGACAAGATGCTAATTGCTGCAATTAATTGAATCCCGGTATGAACATTCTGCTATAAATGCTATGTTGTGTGACTTATGTAACTTTTGACATACTACATCCGAACAGGAAAAACCTGGCTTAGACTCCACTATGTGCATTCAATGTGTAATGTAACAGAGTTGTTCAGATATGCCTGGGGACACTCCAGTGACTCCATGCAACAATTGCAAAATTATATAACAAATTTATTCAAAACCATGAGTAAATCAGAAGAGACATATTCAAAACTATTAAAAAAACCACACATAAATTTGGCCAATGAGCAAAAAACAACTGGCCAAGGCTTCTGCTCCCTAAGTATTGGGTGTATTAGTGTTACCTAACAGAAATCCAATAGCCAATGCCAAAATGGAAATCATTGTAAATATAACGTACAGGCAAACATAAAAATTGCTGCGCTGCCTCTCCCAAAAACTACTTTAAATAATTAATAAATAAATGAATGAACTCCCTACTACACAAAGAGTCCCCAAAATGTGCATGTGCTATAATGCTCCGTGGGCTGGCAATTATATCCCTCCTCCCCAGTGACTAAATCCTAAGTAAACCAATAAGTAAACACAAGGTGCTTAAATGACAAGAGTGCTAAAAATAGCACATATATAAATGCCATAAACTGTGTATACAGTCAAATTGTATAAAACAATATATATATACTGCAGGGGTTAAAATTTTGAGTCCAGACCTACTAGCCCAGGGGTGGGCAAACTTTTTGACTTGAGGGCCGCAATGGGTTCATATATTGGACCCGGGGGCCGGACCAAGAGTAGATAAATGATGTGTATGTGTCATCCATAGTAAGTATAGTAATATTCCCCCATAGTAAGCATAGTAATTAATCCCCCATATAGTAATTCATCCCCCATAGTAATTCATCCCCCATATAGTAATTCATCCCCCATATAGTAATTCATCCCCCATAGTAATTCATCCCCCATAGTAAATTCATCCCCCATATAGTAATTCATCCCCCATAGTAATTTCCCCCATATAGTAATTCATCCCCCATATAGTAATTCATTCCCCCTATAGTAATTCATCCCCCATATAGTAATTCATCCCCCATATAGTAATTCATCCCCCATATAGTAATTCATCCCCCATAGTAGTAATTTATCCCCCATATAGTAATTCATCCCCCGTATAGTAATTCATCCCCAATAGTAATTCATCCCCCCTATAGTAATTCATTACCCCCCATATCTCGCTAATTCATCCTCCATATAGTAATTCATCCCCCATATAGTAATTCATCCCTCATAGTAATTCATCCCCACATATAGTAATCATCCCCTCATAGGAGTAATTTTCATGCCCCCATTAGTAATTCATTGCCCCCGGATATATAATTCCGTTGCCCCAATATAGTCCCCCAATAGTTCCCCCCGTATTAATTCATCCCCATTGCTGTACTCCCCAAGTCCCCCCTGTGTCAATTCACTTACCTTTCTCTGCGCGTTCCTCTCGCCGTGTCCCGCGCCGTTCCGGTGTAGCATGAAAAAATCTGTCTCCTATGAGGATCTGTCCCCCTCGACGTATCTGCGCATGTGCCAGTTTCAGGCATTAGCAGCCGATCGGCGATCTCCGGCACATGTGCAGATACGTCGAGGGGGACAGATCCCCAGGGGGACAGATCCTCATAGGAGACAGATTTTCATGCTACACCGCTCTCCTGTACAGGGCGTGATATGACATGTATACAGTAATGTATATCCCCCCTCCCCTGTAACTCCATTCAGGGCGGAATGTGAGGGGAGCCTTGCTCCGTGGGCCGGATTAAAAGGTCCGCCGGGCCGTAGTTTGCCCATTGCTGTACTAGCCGGTCACAAAACTTACTCTCCACCAGTTGCCCCCCCAACCTTGCCCAGGTCCGCCTCCAACCCCACCCCCTGGCCCGCCCCAAACCCCACCCCCCGGCCTGTCCCCAACCACGACCCCTTAAAGTTTATGAAATTAAATAAAATTTTTTTTTGAATAAATAGTCCAAAATATAATCCCAGCTCCCCTGTACTCCATTATAGTGATATGACATGTATACAGTAATGTATATCCCCCCTCCCCTGTACTCCATTATAGTGATATGACATGTATACAGTAATGTATATCCCCCCTCCCCTGTACTCCATTATAGTGATATGACATGTATACAGTAATGTATATCCCAGCTCTCCTGTACTCCATTATAGTGATATGACATGTATACAGTAATGTATATCCCAGCTCTCCTGTACTCCATTATAGTGATATGACATGTATACAGTAATGTAGAGGGGTCGCCAAAAAGTAAAGTGCCCAGCAGTGATTAAATACCACCAAAAGAAAGCTCTATTTGTGAGAAAAAAATGCTAAAAATTTCATATGGGTACAATCTTGCATGACCGCGCAATTGTCATTCAAAGTGCGACAGCGCTGAAAGCTGAAAATTGGCCTGGTAAAGAAGGGGTATAAGTGCCCAGTAGGCAAGTGGTTAATATATGTTGATTGGGACTTGAAGGACCTTTAGTTCTTCATTGATGATAGATAAATATTTATGAATAGTTTAGCTGGAGGAAGGAGGTCTAGATTTCCTCATATAGATATTATGTTATCACTAGAGGGGTCGCCAGCAGGCTGAAGGAGGTCCTGATTCCTCTATATAAATCATTAGTTATCACTAGAGGGGTCACCAGCAGGAGGAAGGAGGTCCTGATTCCTCTATATAAATCATTAGTTATCACTAGAGGGGTCACCAGCAGGAGGAAGGAGGTCCTGATTCCTCTATATAAATCATTAGGTATCACTAGAGGGATCACCAGCAGGATGAAGGAGGTCCTGATTCCTCTATATAGATCTTAGTTATCACTAGAGGGATCACCAACAGGAGGAAGGAGGTCCTGATCCTCTATAGATCTTAGTTATCACTAGGGGGGCACCAACAGGAGGAAGGAGGTCCTGATTCCTATATATAGATATTTAGTTATCACTAGAGGGGTCACCAGCAGGAGGAAGGAGGTCCTGATTCCTCTATATAGATCTTTAGTTATCACTAGAGGGGTCACCAGCAGGAGGAAGGAGGTCCTGATTCCTGTATATAGATCTTTAGTTATCACTAGAGGGTTCACCAGCAGGAGAAGGAGGTCCTGATTCCTCTATATAGATCTTTAGTTATCACTAGAGGGATCACTAGCAGGAAAAAGGAGGTCCTGATTCCTCTATATAGATCTTTAGTTATCACTAGAGGGATCACTAGCAGGAAAAAGGAGGTCCTGATTCCCCTATATAGATCATTAGTTATCACTAGAGGGGTCACCAACAGGAGAAAGGAGGTCCTAATTCCTCTATATCAGTGGTTCTCAACCTTTCTAATGCCGCGACCCCTTAATACAGTTCCTCATGTTGTGGTGACCCCCAACCATAAAATTATTTTCGTTGCTACTTCATAACTGTAATTTTGCAGTGGGAGGAGTAGTGCCCACGTCATTGGTGTCAGTGGGAGGAATAGTGTCCCATCACTGATGTCAATGGGAGGAATAGTGCCCCATCATTGGTATCAAAGGTAGGAATAGTGCCCCATCATTGGTGTCAGTGGTAGGAATAGTGCCCCATCATTGGTGTCAGTGAGAGGAATAGTGCCCCATCATAGGTGTCAGTGGGGGGAATAGTGCCCCCATCATTGGTGTCAGTGGGAGGAATAGTGCCCCATCATTGGTGTCAGTGGGAGGAATAGTGCCCCATCATTGGTGTCAGTGGGTGGAATAGTGCCCCATCATAGGTGTCAGTGGGAGGAATAGTGCCCCATCATTGGTGTCAGTGGGGGGAATAGTGCCCCATCATTGGTGTCAGTGGGAGGAATAGTGCCCCATCGTGGTGAGGGGGAGGAATAGTGTCCCATCGTTGGTGTCAGTGGTAGTGCCCATCGTTGGTATCAGTGGGAGGAAATAGTGCCCCATCACTTGGTGTCAGTGGGAGGAATAGTGCCCCATCATTGTGTCAGTGGGGGGAGGAGGAATAGTGCCCCATCATTGGTGTCAGTGGGAGGAATAGTGCCCCATCATAGGTGTCAGTGGGGGAATAGTGCCCCATCATTGGTGTCAGTGGGGGGAATAGTGCCCATCATTGGTGTCAGTGGGGGGAATAGTGCCCCATCATTGGTTTCAGTGGGGGGAATAGTGCCCCATCAACTGGTGTCAGTGGGAGGAATAGTGCCCCATCATTTTGGTGTCAGTGGGAGCAATA